AGTTCCAATTCCTTTCAATCATGATTGAATTCCAGCACTCAGGGCAAGAGAGAGTCCTTTGGTTATGAGATAACAAGGTGTAGAGCTGGATGAACACAGCAGGCCAAGCAGCATCAGAGGAGCAGGAAAGCTGACGTTTTGGGCCGAGACCCTTCTTCAGAAATGGGGGAGGAGAAAGGGATTCTGAAATAAATAAGGAGAGAGGGGAAGGCGGATAGAAAATGGATAAAGGAGAAGATAGATGGAGAGGAGACAGACAGGTCAAAGAGGCGGGGTTGGAGCCAGTGAAGGTGAATGTAGGTGGGGAGTTAGGGACGGAATAGGTCGGTCCAGGGAAGACAGACAGGTCAAGGAGGCGGGATGAAGTTAGTGGGTAGGAGATGGGGGTGGGGCTTGAGGTGGGAGGAATGGTTAGGGAGGCCGGGACAAGCTGGGCTGGTTTTGGGATGCAGTCAGGGGAGGGGAGATTTTGAAACTTGTGAAGTCCACATTGATACCCTTGGGCTGCAGGGTTCCCAAGCGAAACATGAGACGCTGTTCCTGCAGCTTTCGGGTGGCATCATTGTGGCTATGCAGGAGGCCCAGGATGGACATGTCATCCAAGGAGTGGAAGGGGGAGTTGAAATGGTTCGCGACTGGGAAGTGTAGTTGTTTGTTGTGAACCGAGCGTAGGTGTTCCACAAAGCAGTCGCCAAGCCTCCGCTTGGTTTCCCCGATGCAGAGGGGGCCACAACGGGAACAGCGGATACAGTATGCCACATTAGCAGATGTGCAGGTGAACATCTGTTTGATATGGAAGGTCTTCTTAGGGCCTGGGATGGGGGCGGGGGGGTGGGAGGGAGAGGTGTGGGGGCAGGTGTAGCACTTGCTACGGTTGCAGGGAAAAGTGCTGGGTGTGGTGGGGCTGGAGGGGAGTGTGGAGTGGACAAGGGAGTCACGGAGATAGTGGTCCCTCTGGAAAGCAGATAAGGGTGGGGAGGGAAAAATGTCTTTGGTAGTGGGGTCAGATTGCAGATGGCGCAAGTGTCAGAGGATGATGCGTTGGATTCAGAGGTTGGTGGGGTGGTACGTGAGGACAAGGGGGATTCTGTTTTGGTTGTTATTGCGGGTAGGGGGTGTGAGGGATGAGTTGCGGGAAATGCAAGAGACACGGTCGAGGGCATTTTCGACCACTGTGGAGGGGAAGTTGCAGTCCTTGAAAAACGAGGACATCTGGGATGTCGGGAGTGGAATGCCTCATCTCGGGAGCAGATGTGGCAGAGGCGAAGGAATTGGGAATAGGGAATGGCCTTTTTGCAGGAAGGTGGGTGAGAGGAGGTGTATTCTAGGTAGCTGTGGGAGTCGGTAGGCTTGAAATGGATAATCAGTTTCCAGGTGGATGCCAGAGATGGAGACAGAGAGGTCCAGGAAGGAGAGAGAGGTATCAGAGATGGTCCAGGTGAACTTAAGGTTGGGGTGGAAGGTGTTAGTGAAGTGGATGAACTGTTCGAGCTCCTTGTGGGAGGTCCTTGTCCTTTGGTTGTCCTGTTTTCTTTGGTCTGGCAGCTAGGAGGCTGACTTCTTGCAATGAGAGAGAGAGTCCTTTTACCTGTAACCCAGGGTGATCAGGACTAGTTCTTTGTGACCTTCACAGTATGTTAAACATTAAACCCAGGCTGATACACACAAGAACCACTAGCACACTCCAGTAGAGTTAAAATTGGCTTTCAAATGGATAAGAAACAGACAAAATGTGTCTGCAGAGATAGTAGGAACTGCAGATGCTGGAAAATCTGAGATAACAAGGTGTAGGGCTGGATGAACACAGCAGGCCAAGCAGCATCATAGGAGCAGGAAGGCTGATGTTTCGGGCCTCGACCCTTCATCAGAAAAGGGTCTAGGCCTTTCTGATGAAGTGTCTAGGCCCGAAACGTCAGCCTTCCTGCTCCTACGATGTTGATTGGCCTGCTGTGTTCATCCAGCTCTACACCTTGTTATCTCAAAATGTGTCTGCAGTTTGGCACATCATCTGCAGGGGAAAGCTTCTGTTGACCAATGTCTTATCATCTTTGCAGTCACAAGAGATCACAGTCCAGTCTGTTCTGATGTACTTCTTCCCCTTTTGACGGGCTGTTGTTTAAAGTTTCTTGCACCTCCAGTAGCATATTCTGAGAGTTCCACTTTCTAGGCAGCCATCTAATTTACATCTGCAGCCATTTTTGCTTGTGTCACTCTTCTACATAAAAAAAATGGAATTACGAATTGAAAAATATCTACACTACTTTGTGGTTCTGACCTGTGGGCATAATACTGACATGGATCAGAATCACTGGCTGTTCTCCCTTTCCCTTGAAAATGTCCTAGCTGCTCGATGACATCCTTGATGCTAGCAACATGGTCATATACAATCCTAGTGTCACTTCCGCAGCCTCAGAAACATGTACACGTTCCCATTAGGATAGAGTCCCCTGTCACAATTGCTATCCCAATATTTTTCCCCCCTCTTTCCCATCCCATGCAGCTGAGCCACATATAGTGCCACAGACTTGGCTCTCACTTCATTCCTCCATCAATATCCAAAACAGAAAATGTCAAAAAAGAGAAGTGGCCCCAAGAGACTTTTGTACTACTTCCATGGTGTTTTTTTATTTCTGCCTGTGCACTGTTCACCTGTGATGTGATAATCTTTTTGTACTTGTTGTCTACAAATACCTCTGACTTGGAAATACTCCACTGACTCCAACCACCACCCCAGATCTGACACGTGGATTTCTTGTAGCTACAACTGAAGACATACCCTGTGCAAGTGATTACGCTGGATACTGAAAACATCCCTGACTTTCCAAATCCCACAAATGCATTTCCTGGCTTAGCTGCCTTCCCATGACTTACACTCCATTTATTTCCTCTAGTTTGAGAAATATTAAATAAATACATATTACACACACACACCCCAAGGGGACGTACCTTGTTTCTTATACTTTAAATGTACAATTTTTTTTACTTTAAAGGTTGGACAGGGGAAATACTCACCTTTTCTTACTCACCAAGGCAGCCACTTGTCCCATGTTGGCTCCTGGTCCCACTTGAAGAGCATTTCCTCTGTAATGTTACTCATTAACATTTTCAAAACTCACCCATCTTGCACAGCTATTCAAGTCCTAGTCTCGAGACTGAAGACGGAGAAAGAAGATGGAGAAAGAAAATGGAGGAAAAGAGGACCTCCCTCTCCTTCTCACCAAACTCCCTTTTCATCAAACTTGCAGGTTACCAATCTGCACCAGAGCACGACTGACAGTCCACTTCTTTCATTTAAACTAGTTGGATTCAGCTCACTCCTCTACAAGGCAGTTACTAAAACTGTTGTCAGTTACACAATTAGATCTCACTTGCTCTGCAACAAGGACCTCAATTTGCTCGATTAACCCTGCCCTCAAGTCTCTAAGAAACTTTAGATTGGAAACAGTAACATTTCAGAAAGTGTTAAATTGCAGGCAAGCAGTGCTAAATTTTATACAAAATTAACCCCTTAAAACTGAACACTCACTTCCTCTAATTTAGTCTTACCACTCGTATCAGGTTTGTCTTCTAGGCACTTAACTGTCCAGTCATGAAATGGTTGCAGTACAGTAGCAGTCCATCAACTTCATGTCATCACTCCAACAGCAATTTAGTTTGTATATAAATACACAGACTGTAGTAAACCAGGGTGGCAGTTAAAATGCAGATTGTAATGTAGAATTACCATGTTGCGGTGTTACGTCAAGAATGGATTTTAAATATTCTTACGTACGTGTTATTCAGGAATGTCAGAAAAGGAACAGAGGAGGGCATTTCAATCTTAGAGAAAGAGGACGCCTCAGAGGTTTCATGTAAGGAGTCAATATGTCCAGAGCTACTGAATAAAAGGATACAATTACATTGCTCAGTGTAGTCTATAGACAACTAACTAGTGGAAAGGATGTAGAGGAACAAATCTGTAGGATAATTACAGAGAAATGTCGATGTCATGCAGTATTGGAATGGGGGACTTAAATTACCTAAAAACAGACTGGGATACTGGTGCTGTAAAGTGTTGTTGATTGTGTTGGAGAGTCTCCTACAGTAGTATGTGTCCAGTCCAACAAGAAAGGTCACTGTCAGAAGTCACACAACATCAGGTTATAATTCAACAAGTTTTTTTTAAAATCACAAGTGTTCAGAGCGCTGCTCCTTCATAAGGTGAAGTCCACCCATGCTTTTCCTCACCAAAATCCATCAACACAACACTCCATTCCCTTTCTTTTCTAGGAATTTTCCAATCAACCCATACATAGATGTTACTATACACCTTTAGAACAGGTAAGACTTGAACCTGGGCCTCCTTAAAGGATAGGACAGTACCACTACATCTATGCAACACTTCTACCAGGTTCTCTGGTGATGAGTTCCACATTCTTACCATTTTGATTTCTTCCCAAGTTTGTTTTTAATTTCTTTAGTGACTTGTACATTGATAGCCTCTCATGATGCTTTTCCTTAGAAAACATTCTGTTCGAATCCAAAACCTCTCAATTTCTTTTAAAAAGGACTCAATAACATCACTCCTTGTCTGCCTTTTTGAGACAGAAAAGAAGTTCTAACCTATCTTTGCTTTGCTGATATGTATAACCTCAGTTCTGGTATCACCCCGGTAATCTTCTCTGCACCCTTTCTTGTGCCAGGACTGTACACAGTACTCCAAAAATGTGGTTTAAGCAAGGCTTTGATACAGGATTAGTATGTATACTGTGCTCCCCATCACCAGGTACTAAACTAAAATGTGATCCCTATAATGGGTACAGCTGCTTGCCAGTCATCATGTGAAAATTGCTTCAAATCTTCATCCAGATACACCTTATTAAATTACATCAATTTCTCATCGCATTGTTTTCCAATTTGTACAACTGAATTACATGAATGATAGCTGGAAGTGAGAATCAGTGTGCTCGTGGCCAAAACAAGTCAAACAACTTTCTCAAATCAGAAAAGCAACTCAAATGTACTCTTGTATTATGTTTAATGAAGTTTTTAAAAAAAACTAAACTTTTTCGACATCTCTTCAGAGAGAGTGATATTTAAAAGATACAGAGTCAAACCATGATTTTACAGGTTATTGCTCTCATGGAATTGTGATCCACCACGTTAGACTGCAGTCAGTAGAAACAGAGAATTTGTAAATGCAATTTGATCTTAAACAAGTTAAGACTATTAAGAGAAAGCAGTGGAAGTGCATATTTCCCTTAACAAAAGAAAACTCTTCTTTGTGGAAGGCTTGCAACTACCAAAGTGCGATCACCTAAAACCTAACTTTAAAAAACACAGCACTTATAACAAAAACAACGGTGGAAATACTCAGCAAGTCTGTCAACATCTGAAGTCAGAGAGGAGAAGTTAACATTTCAGAATTCAAACTTAGGTGCTGGGTGAGGAGGTCAACTGGGGAGCAATTAAGACCCTTGTCAGTTAATAGCCACTTAAAGACCCCAACTCACCAACTGCTTGACGACCTGATTCCCCAGCAGGTGAAAAACGTAGCGACCTGCCTGCCATATGGAGGCCTCCAATGCACTAATCCTGGTATGCAACAGCGTAGCTCGGAGACCATCCTCTCCATAAGAAAGAAAGTCTTACTTTTCTGCTGCTAGATTACCAGAGGGGTGGACCTTGACTGCAGATGTTAGTTCAGCAGCTTCTAGTGACCCAAAACGCCACTGTGAAAGCCTGAAATACGTCAAAAACTCACCTGTCAGCTTTTAACATGGCAAGTTATTGTGCCAGTAGAAGTGGTGTGTTAAGTCACCAAATACAATCACCACCACCCCCGCCCTGCCCCCATCATTTTTGTTTCTCTCCAGACATTTCTGGATGTGCTGAATATTATCAGCATTTTCTATTTGTTTGTTTGAATCTCTTGCTTTTATTTCAAAATTCCAACAAATGTTTTACTTCATTTACAATATTCATAGATTGCTATTAATGTCACCATTTATTTGCATATTTAGTGGTTTGACAAAAATATATTGCAGAATTATCCAAAATAATTTCCCATTTTAAAGACCTTCGGTAATACCCTCCAGAGGCTATTTAAAATGGTACTCCTATTACCACAATTAAATCGATGCAAAAATAGAATTGTGCCTTGAAGTTGAATACTGGTAATTCTTCCACAGGGCACAGTTTTAAAACAGACAAGGACTGCAGCAATCATTGGGCAAAACGCAGACAATTAAAAAGTAAATAAAATCCATTAACGAAATTGTTATCAGCAATATCTTGATGGTACGACATTGTGCTGTAGCATAGTGGGAGGTCAGGTTTGCAATTGTCCACCTAGCAAACTATTGATCTCAGCTGCAGTGCTTGTTAAGAAAAAAGGGAGATAAAATGAGAGGAGTCAGAACTGGAGCAAAAGAATCACCAGCACTCCTGGGATATCAGTTTTATACCTCTTCATTGATCAGGAACCCAGCTGGATTGAGGACCTTAAAAAAAAACAGCATTGTACCTATCTAAGCAAGACAATGCTTTGTTGGGTAGGAAGAAAATAAATTTAAAATATGTTTGAATTGTTTAGCTTTGACTCCACCAAAACAGCAAACTTTGACAGAAGCAAGTGTTGTTACTTCAGCAACAGCAAAGATTGAAGGCCTCAGAAATCAGCTGGCTACTCGTTTTGTTACTAACAGATGACTGACGAATTCAGTATTACAATAATGTTTGAGCAATGTCAATTTACATTTTACAAGTCCACTTAGTTAGATCTGCTTCATTAGTTCAGACATTTACAAAATCAATTATTTTCATTATTTAAAAAGAAAGTACAATTGAGATTATGTAGAATATGGCTTTGCAGGTGCTTCCTAACATCCATTTTTCTTCTAGCATGGTCACAGCTGTTTTTATTTACAGAAAATATTTACCGATGTCCTTACAGCAATATTCATCCATATATCCATATTCAAAATGAAAGACAACTGCATGTATAAGTGATTTTTGTGTGGTATGCTGTGGGTAAATGCTACCAGAAACCGCCACCAGCTTCAGAGGTGGGTGTGAAATTAAGACTAAGTAACTGTCAATAGAATATTTCAAGATACTTCTTGCAATTTATGTAGGCTAACTTAATGGAATAATGTCTTAAGGAAAAAGTTCTAAATCAGCATCAACCCACAGGGGAGCATTTCATTTCAAGAGGTAAGGGGAAATGAGGAATTATGGAAAATTGAGTTCTCATACTAATTTGAAGGGGATTTGTAGCAAAGTCTGTTTGTAGCGCAGAGTTAAGATTTTCTGCTACATGGACTTTTATTTTTTTTACTTCAAATATGAAAGTAAAAATAAAATTTGAATGTGAAATTGCACACAAAGTAAACAAACATACTAGTTCATCTGTGGTAGCCTGTTTAACAGCTCAAGCCATCTGCAACATTTCTTTATTCGTCCTTGGACCCCACATATTGCAGAAGTCACAGCTTCAAAAATGAATTTCACAGTAAAACACAGGTTCACATTGCACAAAACTTCATTCCATCTTTGACATTTCATATTTGGTTGTCATTATTTCCTAATTTGACAAAAGAAAAGAAAATTAAAATTAGTCCTGCTTTGATTTAAAAGAAAGCTCCGTCTACTTTCTATTTTTATAGATAACTAAAAGATCAAAGCTGTGGAATTCTCTCCCAATTCCTTGCTGCTCTTTAACCTCACTCTCCTCCATTAAGACATTTAAAATTTTTTGTAAACTAATCTATCCTTGAGAGACTCGGCATCACACTTTATTGTGCTGTGCTTCTATGAAGCACCTTGGGTGTTTCATTATGTTAAAAGGTGCTATATAAATACAAGTTGTTGTTCTAGTCACTTTGTCATGCTTTCCTTGAAAATAACAGGTAGATTAATCTGGCACATGCCACCTCTGCAAACACTACCAGTCCACAACGTATTGACAAGTCATAATTATCAGACAGCACAGAATCCCTGATTCATCACATGAAAATCTGAGTAATGAAATTCAGCTACGTTCTTGAATGCATGCTGAACTGAAACCCTAGAAGTATGGAGCTGTCAAAACTCTGTACAGACTACAATGTGCACAGAACGTTGTAACATGTGGCACACCCTGGCCTCCCTCAGCATTATACAAGTACATAATGATGACAATTACCAAGCAAAGTTCTCAGCTGTACAGACTAGGTAAACAACAAACCATCTGGCAATTAAACAACATTATTTTGAGAGTTGGGGAAGGAGATGGAATGAACAAGGATGTTTCTGTTAGCAGCCAAACCCATTTGTGAACCAGGTTTAATTAACAAAGCATTATGGTTATGGAGTCTACTTACTTCATCTGAATCCAGCAACATCGGGAGTGCACTGAAATATAAATGAAAACGTGACATTAGCCAATGGGGGCAATCATGCTAGAATAATGCAAACAATATACTGCGATAGCAGAACACCAAAATTTCTTCTGATTTATTTCTTCTGTGCAGCCTGCTTATTTCAATACATGGTACCTTAACTTTCTGGGTAGATGTTTACACACTGTGTTGCAAGAGCTCAGCTGGACAGTGACCTATGTGGTAAATTCACCACAAGTACACTCGTGCACAGCTCAAAGAGAAAACTGCAGTCACTACAACTAACTAGCAAAGTGCTACTGCGAGACTCTGGTCTTTATTCAAGATTGACTGAGAGCTACGTTTAACACAATATATAAAACAATAAAAATAACTAATGTTCAAGTACACAACTTTGCTTCTAAATGACTAAATTAGGCACCACATTGTAATACGGCAGGATGAGAAGATGACAGATATTTATTTATTAGTAACATAAGAACAATATGAGACAGGGGAGAAGGTTGACTACCAAGATTTTTAAAAAAGGGATAAGCCATGTAGGCACAAAAAAAAGTAGTGCAAAAAAACTCAAAGCTTGAATTAGATTGAACCCGATAGCCGTAGAGATTTGATAAATGCTGATAATTACACATCTGTAACAGAAGGTATGTTCTCTTCCACCCACTTTAAATCTTCATCCTATTAAGAAAAAGCAAATATCAAACCAACTTCTGAAAAAGTATATAAATCTGTACAATTTTGGGACAATTGCATCAGAAAAGGAAAATCAATTTATGTCAACACAAGATAGATTGCCAAAACCTTTTTGGTCAATTTTGATCATACATTACAAATTTAAAGAGTGAGAAAAACAAAACTGAGCAAGGAAAGCTGTCAGTCCATTAAGTTTACACTTCCAGAGTCCATGTACGATTGCTGCACCTTCAATTTCACTCCCAAATTACCTGATCCCCAACTTCACTTGAAGGAAGAGTTGGAGATACTTGAGAATTTATACATGGCAGGGATATAGGGAAACAGTTGAGAAGCAAACTCTTAAAGAGCTGCTTTGGGTGAAAACAGTTTCCTGTGTCACAAGATTCCAGGATTCAGATTAACACTGATATTCTTTCAAGGGTTAGCACATTCATTGGCTTGGCCAGCATTAGTTGTCCATCCCTAGTGGCCCTTGAGAAGGTGGTGAGCTGCCTCCTTGGACTGTTGCATTTCATCTTGTGGAAGGTGCCATCGTGCTGTTAGGAAGGGAATTCTAGGTTTTTATCTAGCAACAGTGGAGGAATGGTGATGTAGCGGTCAGGATGATGTGTGGATTTGGTGCCTTTAACATTGCAAAGCATTCTAAGGCATATCACAGGAGCGTAGTTTATTAAACATTTGCTACAAAAATAGTCTTGAAGGGACATTTCAAAAGGAGATCTTTAAGGAAAAAACATGAGCTTTAGGGAGAGAATTCTAAATCTGAAAACCAATAGGACCGAATACATGACAATCAATATTGGACATTAAGAATGAACAGGAAGCCACAGTTGGAGTAATACTGAGCTCTTAAGAGGGTTGTAGAGCTAGGTAGGATACAGAGACAAGGAGGAGAGAGGCCAGGGAGTAATCTGAATATAATGGCCCTGTTGGGGGAAATGACCATTCACGGGAAAGCAGCAGTAACCAGGTCGGTGGCACTACAACTGGCTCTGGGGCACAGCAGGAAAGGGCAAAGGTAAACAGGATAGGAGACTTGACAGTTAAGGGGACAGGCAGGAGATTCTGTGGCTGCAAACAGAAATCCAGGATGGTGTCTCGCTTCCCAGGTGCCAGGGTCCAGGATGTCTCAGAGCAGCTACAGAACGTTCTCAAGGGGGAGGGTGAGCAGCCAGGAGTCATTGACACAAATGACAAAGTTAGAAGTAGGGATGAGGTCCTGCAGAGTGATTATAGACAGGGGAAAAAAAAGTTAAAAACCTGTACCTCAATGGTGACAATCTCTGGATTACTTCTAGTGCCACATGCTACTGAGTGTAAGAATACAGGATATGGCAGATGAATGTGTGGCTAAAGAATTGGTGCAGGGGGCAGGGATTCAGATTCCTGGATTGTTGGGATCTTTTCTGGGACAGAGGTTACCTGTTCACGAGGGACAGGTTGCACCTGAACTGGAGGGGGACCAATATCCTGGCAGGCAGATTTGCTAGTGCTACAAGGGAGGGTTTAAACTAAATTGGCAGGGGTGTGGGATCCTCAACAGCAGGGAGGGAAGTGAGACGCTGGAAGGAGATACCGTAAATCAAAAATAGCAAGAAGAGGAGACAGGTCAGGGAGCGAGGAATACCTGTTGGATTAAATTGCATCCATCTCAATGCAAGAGGGCTGACAGGTAAGGTCGATGAACTTGGGGTGTGGATAGGTAGGTGGGACTGGGATATTATTTATTCAGAGGGACAAAACTGGTCCACAGGTTCAAGTTCTAAATTTGGGCAAGTCTAATTCTATCAAAATTCGCCAAGAGCTTGCAGGGGTTGATAGGAGTAGTTTGTTTCCAGGCAAAGGGAGCTCTAGCAAGTGGGAGGCCTTAAAGTGTGATAGCTAGAGTTCAAGGTCTCTATGTTCCTGTGAGGATGAAGGGCAAGGTTGGCAGGAATAGGGAACCCTGGATAACAAGAGATATTGAGGCTTTGACTTGAAAAAAGGAGGCACGGCTCAGGAACAGGCAGCTGGGATCAAGGGATTCCATGGGAGTATACAGGAGCTTACTGAAGAAGGAAATCAAGGGGGCGAAAAGGGGGCATGAGATAACTTTGGCTAAGATTAGGATGAATCTAAAGAGATTCTTTAAGTATATTAAAGGAGAAAGAATAACTACAGGGAGAATGGGACTCCTCAAGAACCAAAGTGGACATGTATATGTGGAACCACAAGAGATTGGCGAGGTCCTCAATGAATATTTCTCCTCGGTCTTTACCGTGGAGAAAGATATGAAGACTTGGGAACTCAGGGAAGTTAGTGGCGATATCTTGGAGACAGTCCGTATCACAGTGGAGGTGGTCTTGGGACATATTAGAATGTATGAAATGGGGTTAGCGTGGATGGACATTTTGGTCGGCATGGACTAGTTTGGGCCGAAGGGCCTGCCTCTGTGCTGTAGGACTCTATGACTATTTCATTGTGGAAATTATGAAACGTATCAGGGTTTGTCATCATTGCTTAATGGAAATGGATGGTATGTTTTGGAGTTCACACACATGCAGGATAATGCAGAAAGTTAGTTTCACGGATTCTCTACAAGGTCTGCTAGTTAGACAACTCTCGTTTGCCACTGACCACCTAGATTGCAATCAATGACAAATCAATTAACTTAACAGAAACATCCACAATCATGCTGTTAGTCTCGCTGCACAAAGACATTTGAAAAAGTAAACACCCAGTTACATCTTGATTCCACAGCCAGTTAGACCCTTAGTATAGAGGTCAATATCAAAGTTGCAATCAATACAAAACTGGGAAGCATCGTCAACTGTGAGGGGGTGGGGGAAGAGGCAGAACTTCAAGAGAAGTTCTTGACAAATTGATGGAGTGGACAGTTAGGTGGAAAATTAAAATTTAATGCGGAAATTGAGGTGATACATTTTCATGGAAAAAAATGGAGGGACTTTAAATGAAGGTACTATTATAAAGGGTGTGCTGCAATAGAGAGATCCAAGTGTAACCATGCATAGGTCATGAAAAGTGACACACCAGATAGGCAGAGGACTTAATAAAACATACAACATTTTGGGCTTTATTAATAGATGCAGAGAGTTCAAGACTACAAGAAGTCATGCTGAACCTGTTTAAGACACTAGTTGGATCTCAGCTGGAATACTGTCAACGATTCTTAGTGCCACACTTCAGGAAGAATGTGAAAATGCTGGAGAAAGTGCAGAAGAGGTTTACAAGACTAGTTTCAGCATGAGACACTTCAGTTACGAAGATAAATTGAAGTAGTACAAACCATTCTTATTAGAGAGAAGGCCGAGATGAAATCTGATAGAAATTTTGAAAAATCATGAGGAGTCTGGACAGACACTATTCTCACTTGTAAAAAGGATCAACAACGAGGAGGCAAAGATTTAAAAGTAATTTTCAAAACAAGCAATGCAATGTGAGAATTTATTTGCACACAGCACAAAGTCAGAACCTAGAAGTACGGTGAAAAGTAGGTTCAAAGTGACAATGTGAATAGAAGCAACATGCAGATTTAAAAGGAAGATGGTAGGAGTTGGATACCAATTCATAATGCTTATTTGAAGAGTCAGTGCAGACATGATGGACCAAATAGTCTTGTAACAATTCAGTGATTGAACAAGGTGTAAGATGGTATACTAACTTCAATAACTGAAAAACACCCCAAGGTAATGTCATGAAGTTTTTTATTCCTTGGTTAAAGTTTACAAATTAAAATAAGTTTTCAGAAAATATTTTTCATCTTAGTTTCTATCTCAATCCAATCAGAATTTAGCAACCTGAAATTTTAACTTAAAAGCTGTATTTTGGGTTTGCTGTTTAGGAGTTCTTCACTGTGGTCAGTTGGTTACCTGCTTACTACCAACACCGCTGTCACACGTTAAGTTAGCGCAGATTTAAATTGTCATCAGGAAAAGCAAAAGAGATTGGAGAGATCACTGGACTTTAGTGTACAGCTTTCTTGAAGCTCACCAGCAAGCCCTGTTCCTCCACTGCTGACAGCAGAACGTAGTCCATTAACATGCACAAATAGCTTAGCATTTGAAAACCAAACGTTTAACAATTTTAACACTATTTCAATCCCACCCAACATGAATACTTTATATCTCAATGTTTACAACTTTTGAGCCAGTGTCATGAAAAACATGCAAAAATACTACTCACCATATTTGAACCTGGTTTTGCTGTACCATTAATCCCCACTTTGGACATTCTAACCTTTATTCCATCAGCTGTAGAGCATACAATAAAAAATGTCTTGACTGAATGGAACAGACTGTTATGGTACACAAAAAAGTAAATGAAACAAAAAAGACAGTAAGCAGACTTGAATTCTAATTAGGGCTCTCAGAAAAGGTCAATTCATACATCAAGTTCAGAAAATTCACCTAATACAGTCCATATTCAAATATTATCCATCTCTGCATCTTCTTTTTCACAGCAGTACACTATTTTACAAACTATGACTAACATTTTGCTATGTTGTGGGATTTTCATGTCCCCACAATTCAACAGTCACTTCATTTACTGTAAATTTACACCAAGTCGAAAGTAGAAATTAAGTAAAATGTTAATTTACCAAAGTTTGTTCCAACCAGTTCATTCATTTCGTCATCTGGGTCATCAATAAGCGGTGTAAATGCGTACCTGAAGTCAAAAAGACACCCAAGAGAAATACAGAATCAGAAAATGAAATATTCCCTTCTTTCAGTGACCTCGATATATCTCAAGTGACACCTCTGGTACGTGCTTAGGCACTGAAGGCATTACAACTTAACCTCACCAGGTTAATTGCTTATATCAACTTGGTCAAAAGCTGGTATTTCAACACATCACAAATCACATTCGACATCTTTTCCAAGTGTAAAACTTAGTGTGTCACTAAGTGACATGTTTATAATCCAAATTATTTGTTAGAAACTTTAGCATTGAGCTTTTACAGCAGGATTAGTTTAAATCAAACAAATTTCAAACAGTATAATAAATAATTTAAGTTTAAAACTCAAGCAATCTCAAATATTTATATTTCATGTTAAAATGGATAACACAGCAAATGCAAGCTGATTGTAAAATATGAAGAATTGTGCATTGCAAGTTTATAACACCAGCAGCTCAGATTAACATCAATACAGAAATGCTCAGAAATTCTCTGAAGGACTCTGAATACTAGAATGTTCACGTCAGGCAGTGAGGCCTCAATAGGATTAAAACAAGTCAGTGGGGAAGTTCAATCAACTTTCACACACATACTAAATCAGTTAAGAAATGTAACCTAGTCTTTTCCGTGCACATTGAAAGCATGGAAAAGTTTGTTTTTCCTTTCTAACTTCACCCTATTACCAAGAAGGAAAAAACAAACTGAATCAGTGTTCTTGACAACAAGGTGCAGAGCTGGATGAACACAGCAGGCCAAGCAGCATCATAGGAGCAAAAAGGCTGACGTTTCAGGCCTAGACCCTTCTTCAGAAATGGGGGAGGGGAAGGGGGTTCTGAAATAAATAGGGAGAGAGGGGGAGGCGGATAGAAGGTGGATAGAGGAAAGGATAGGTGGAGAGGAAACAGACAGGTCAAAGAGGCGGTGTTGGAGCCAGTAAAGGTGAGTGTAGGTGGGGAGTTAGGGAGGGGATAGGTCAGTCCAGGGAGGACGGACAGGTCAAGGGGGCGGGATGAGGTTAGTAAGTAGGAGATGGGGGTGCAGCTTGAGGTGGGAGGAGGGGATAGGTGGGAGGAAGAACAGGTTAGGGAGGCGGGGACGAGCTGGGCTGGTTTTGGGATGCGATGGGGGGAGGGGAGATTTTGAACCTTGTGAAATCCACATTGACACCATTAGGCTGCAGGATTCCCAAGCGGAATATATGAGTTGCTGTTCCTGCAACCTTCAGGTGGCATCGTTGTGGCACTGCAGGAGGCCCAGGATGGACATGTCGTCCGAGGAATGGGAGGGGGAGTTGAAATGGTTCCCGCTGGGAGGTGCAGTTGTTTATTGCGAACCGAGCGTAGGTGTTCTGCAAAGCGGTCCCCGAGCCTCCGCTTGGTTTCCCCGATGTAGAGGAGGCCACAACGGGTACAGCGGATGCAGTATATCACATTAGCAGATGTGCAGGTGAACATCTGCTTGATGTGGAAAGTCTTCTTGGGCCTGGGATGGGGGCGAGGGAGGAGGTATGGGGGCAGGTGTAGCACTTCCTGCGGTTGCAGGGAAAAGTGCCAGGTGTGGTGGGGCTGGAGGGGAGTGTGGAGCGGACAAGGGAGTCACGGAGAGAGCGGTCCCTCCGGAAAGCAGATAAGGGTGGGGAGGGAAAGATGTCATTGGTGGTGGGGTCGGATTGCAGATGGCGGAAGTGTCAGAGGATGATGCGTTGGATCCGGAGGTTGGTCGGGTGGTACGTGAGGACGAGGGGGATTCTTTTTTGGTGCTTATTGCGGGGACGGGGTGTGAGGGATGAGTTGTGGGAAATGTGGGAGATACGGTTGAGGGTGTTCTCGACCACTGAGAGGGGGAAGTTGCGGTCCTTGAAAAACGAGGACATCTGAGATGTACGGGAGTGGAATGCCTCATCCTGGGAGCAGATGCGGTGGAGGCGAAGGAATTGGGAATAGGGGATGGCATTTTTGCAGGAAGGTGGGTGGGAGGAGGTGTATTCTAGGTAGCTGTGGGAGTCGGTGGGCTTGAAATGGATTTGCAGAGCTGGATGAACACAGCAGGCCAAGCAGCATCATAGGAGCAGAAAGGCTGACGTTTCTAGGCAAGCTTCAAAATCTCCCCTCCCCCTACCGCATCCCAAAACCAGCCCAGCTCGTCCCCGCCTCCCTAACTTGTTCTTCCTCCCACCTATCCCCTCCTCCCACCTCAAGCCGCACCCCCATCTCCTACCTACTAACGTCATCCCGCCCCCTTGACCTGTCCGTCCTCCCTGGACTGACTTATCCCCTTCCTAACTCCCCACCTACACTCACCTTTACTGGCTCCATCCCCGCCTCTTCGACCTGTCTGTTTCCTCTCCACCTATCCTCTCCTCTATCCATCTTCTATCCGCCTCCCCACTCTCCCTATTTATTTCAGAACCCCTTTCCCCTCCCCCATTTCTGAAGAAGGGTCTAGGCCCGAAATGTCAGCCTTTCTGCTCCTATGATGCTGCTTGGCCTGCTGTGTTCATCCAGCTCTGCACCTTGTTGTCTCGGATTCTCCAGCATCTGCAGTTCCTACTATCTCTGAATCAGTGTTCTTGTATGTGTTAAGATTTAAATACCAGGTCAGCACAGATTTAGAACAAATTGCTTGCCCAAAACCACAAAATGGCAACAGAACTAAAGGAAATCAAAAGGCAAAAGACAGAAATTCAAGAAATAAATACTCTAAAATGTATACAGGATATCAGAAACATATACCTCTGATTATTTGCAGATGGTCTCCAAAGGAACATTATGACCAGGAGAATGACAGAGAAAAGGAATCTCCAGAAAGCATCATCAACCCACAGTTCCATCCAATCCTGGTAATTTTTGGAAGAGATTAAAGTGGTTAAAACTTCATATCAATTTAAACAAATTGAAATTTTGAATTAAAACACACAAAATACCACAATTATAAAAAAACTGCCAACAGATTTCTAACAGATGTACCAAAGCTCTACCCTAATTGAGATTTCAGTGCAGTCCAGCCGTAGTAAGTCAAATTTTTTAGCAAGTGCTTACAATCTCAAGTTTATTTTAAACTTTCCTAAACTATAGATGCTTTATTGTTTGCACTACAATTCCAACAATATAATTTATTTTCAGACTCCCAAACTTTGTCTTCTTGCCCTCAGTTAGGCATGATGTAATCTGCTTCCAAGCCAAATCCTGAAAAACATAGCTAAAACACAAACTAAGCGTGCGATCCCGGTATTTACAGAGATAGTAGATTGGAACCAAGCAAGCAATTTGACTGTTGTACTGCTTCAGATGCCTGAAAATGGCCGTAGTTCATATTTTTGATTATTGCCTATCGTATACCATTTGGACATCTGTCAAGTCCAGAGTTAGGATATCTGCCAACAGTCACCATTGCTTAACAAACATTGGTAATCTTTGCTTTCCAGCAATCTCTGTATGCAAGGAAATTAGCAGTTTGATTTATGTCAAGGGACATGCTCTATAGTTTTGTCAGCATACCCATACAAAAGTAAAGTTGTAGAGTTGTTCTTTCCTATGGCAATTCTAACAAAAGAATTATTTGCCCATTTTCTTGGAGCAGCAAGGCAGAACAGTTGACTTTCAAAGCTAAATAGTTAAGTTTATCAAACATTGATGTTAATATTCAAGAAACAGCGGGCCAGACATAGTCCTGAAGCACTTATTCCACTTCTGAAAGCATTAACACTTAAGTGAGATTATTATTTTAGTAACTTCTATTGTTCATTGTTAAGATTGATTTTGGTTACATCAAGTCTTAAGTGGGCTCCATGAAAATTTGAAAGTGTGATCAATAAAACATACATTCCACCTGACATGCACTATATTTTGGAAGGTTCTAACAGAAAAACATGCAAAAGGGAAATAGAGAAATAAGTAAGTAAAATGTTTTCATGACTTACTGACTGACATGCTGCTAATCTGAACTTTTTCGTTGTCCATACCATAAACCCAACTGATGCTGGAAAATTAAGATAGTTTCATTAATATAAGTGGGAGACCATAACTGCTCACTTCGCCTGAAAAACTTGAACGGACTGAAAATAAGGACTTACCTATAATTGCCAAAATTAATGTATTGGTAAAATGTCTGTATAGTGACAGCTTCACTGTATTTTTCCTTAATTTCAGTGTCTTAATTGTTTGAGCGAGGCTGACAAATATGTGACAAAAGCTAAGGAAAACAGCTTTAACAAGGATTATATTACTATGCATCAAAAATACTTATATGAAAATAGACAAATGCAATCTCAGAATTCATTGTTACAATTCCTAAAATAAATCAAATTTAACAAGCTCCCCCTCAACTGAAGAAATTACCAACAAAGGTTCTACTTTTTGGAGTTTTTCCTTCAACCATTCAGAGCGAATGCAAACTAAAAATGAATTAACAGGTTAAATAAAATAATAAATCTCACTTTAAATAGCTGATACAACAAAGCCGCATCTTTCTCTTCCAGGAAGTGAGTGCCGCTGACAAGGCAAGTATTTTTGTTGCCCAACCCCAATTGTGTAGAATGGGGTGTCTTGATGGGTCATTTTCACAGTCAACCTTTAGGTCTGGAGTCAGATGAAAGTCAGACTGTCTAAACTTGACAGACTGCCTTCCCAGAAGGACATTAGTCAACTAGATTTTTAAAAAAATGAAATCAATGGTGGTTTCATAGTCACCATTACGAAAATTAGTTTTCAATTCCAGCTTTAATCAACTGAATTTAAATTCTACCAGCTGCCATGTTGAGATTAGATCCTACGTCCCTAAAGCATTAGCCCGGGCCTCTGGATTACTGGTCCATTTAACATTATCATCTCATTGCATTTCACCATCACAGACAACTACAAACACCCACATCCATACACAAATGTCACATTGGGTAGCTGCACAGTCCCGTAACATGTTCTTTATTCATACCAGACTAAAGCTGTCACTGCTGAGTTTCACAAATACAATTATCATCAATAAAGCTTATTTCTAGGAAAGCTCATTCCATTATGTTTGAGTCCTGATGATGTAGTTTTCCAAACTGGCTTTTCAAGTAGCCAAACATTAACACCTCTGTTTAGTTCTAGGAAACACCCTGATATTTAGCATTTCCAAGCAATTCAAATGGCTTTCCAGATTTTAGTCTTTTTTGGTTGGCTTTCACAGTATCTTCAACAGTTCCTGCCTCCTCTATTGCAACACTGTAACATCAATATTTTCCTAGATAATTTGCTTCTTATCAGAAGAATCAGTGTGTCCTCTTTCAGTGTACTTTTGGTGTCTGTATCTCTGCACTGTTCAATTTTACACATGGGGTCCCTTGCTTATAGATCTCTTGTTTCTGCATCTCTCCTTTGTTCGTGCCAGCCACACTACATCTTTATTAACTTCTATCCTCTCGGTACTGCTTCCTAGTCAAGGGCCACTGGGTTACACAGACTCCTATTTATTATCATCCAAGAAAATTACAATTGATCTGTTTACAAACAAAAGCTCTTAAAAACCAGACTCAAGTTTTTTTTTCAAAACTAAAAATTGTCCTTATTGTACTGGTTCTGGGCCATAGGTCACCTCCCTCGTCTACCAAATTTTTTCCTTCATTCCTTGAAGGAATTGAAATAAAAGTTGCTGCTTCCTGAGAAATTGTATGTTTTTCGCACAAAACCAGAAGGCACCAAAGCTACTAAGTAAAGAATAATCTTATCACCAGTCATTCACAAACAACGTGATATATTTTCTTTTTCTAATCTAGGGTATCAAAGTTCAATTGAAGTACTTCTCCTGTCAGCTGGGCTTAGATTAGCAGTAATTTATCTTTTGAGCTCTTTGAACCTCCTTTTATCATACTTGTTCTTTTATTAATTTCTTTTGGTTCCAAACTCTCAGAATTGTTATGGTGCAGGAGGGCGTCATTCAGCCCATCGTACATGTACCAGTTTTATCCCCTAGTGTCATTCTTCTGTCTTTTCCCCACATCTCTTCACATCATTTCTATCCAAAGATGAATCTGATGCCCTCTTGAATGCCTTAATTGAACTTTTAAAAAAATTTTCACCAAAATTATCCATCTCTTTCTTGGCTTGTCTTTTTCTTACCAGTGATGTAGTTATGTCCTCCTTTGTTAATGCTTCTTTTAAAAGACAAATAATTAAGTAGATTTGAACCTAACTACTTTGAAATTTCCAAGTAAATACAAGCATGGACCCTTCTCAGGTAGGCACTGTGCACTATAGAGAGAAGCAAAGAGACAAATAGAAAGGCATTAAAAGAAAATAAAATGAAACAAAAATTTTCTCCAATAACACTCAAGAAGCTCAACACCATCCAGAACAAAGCACCCCTCTGATTGTTTGTGGATGTGGTGCATTCATTCCCTCCACCACCAGTGCACAGTAGCAAGTAGCAAGACAGTAGCAACAGTGCAAACCAACCACAAAATTCACCAAGGGTCTCCAGACAGCACCTTCTAAACCCATGACAACTAGCATGTAGAAGGATTTGGGGAACAGATCCATAGGAATACTACCACCTCCAAGTTATCATCCAAGCCCTTTGCCAACTACATTGCTGTTCCTTCCATTTCGCCAGGTCAGAATCCTGGCGCTCCCTCTCTAACAGGATTGTGAAGGTACCTTGAAGCAGTTTAAGGCAACAGCTCGCCACCACCTTCTTAGGGTTAACTATTGCTCCACTACATAAAAATGTTTTGTTCCAAAATGTTTAATCTAGCAAAACACCCAGGCTTGCTGACCAAGAATAAATATAGCTGTAAACTAAACAAATGGCAGACTACTAGCCACAAGCAGCAGGAGTCTTCCAATCTATACCAGTGAAAGGAATTGGTTTTCCAAAACATTTTCAGTTAGCTTACTCAGGCACCCACCAATATATGCATTCCACAGTCTCAACTTCTCAGCAATTCAAAATAGTTCAATTAGTAACTTATAAGTATAGAACGCATTTGCAGAAAGCATTTTTCTACAAAATAAAACCACTTGCAACAAATTGAAACAAAATAAGGATTTTTTTCCGATAAAAGTGGCAAAGGTAAAGACGGTATCAAAAAATTAAACAAGAAGGAGCTTGTGGTTGATACTGCTGTACGTGAATCGAGACAAGGGGCTAGTTTACACATTGAACTTGCACTTTATTCTACAGCTCTTTTGGAACTATCTAACTTTTTTGCTGAGAGATATTAGATTTGCTACAAATGACTTGGGTCCAGTAATTGGAATCACTGGTGTTATTTAGCAGCTGACACATATGTTACTTTACAAATCCCAACTACTGTCAAAACACAAAATAAAGCAGTTTGTTAGCTGGCAAGCAGTTTCATTCTGTGGTGATGTTATTGTTAAAATTCATTTACAAATGTCTGGTCATTCTTAATCTCCATGTACAGTGGCCATAGATGGATAATTCATGGGTCTCATGCTGAATCCTTGAGCAAAGCTACTAACATTTTAGTAACCGAACCTCCAGGCAGAGGAACTTTGTAGCAGAGAGTAAAAATTAGCTTAGTAAAGCTGGGAAAAAAATATATTGTTCTGCATCATCTTCTAACGACTGCCAATAACAATTCTGCACACTAAGAAGTTACATATTTTTCTTACTTCTCAAACAACCATCAGTTGCTAGAAGGGAAAAACAAATGTGCATCAAACCATTTTACATCCAAATGATTTTTTTTGTGCAGTGATTTCCTGTTTGCGTAAATACAGCAATTTACACAGAGTCCCCAAGACAGCTAATAAGTTGAATGAACATGCTAATCTTGTTTCGCTCATTCTCCCCCAGTAAAATAGGTCGGTCCACTGGGAGAACTCCTTGTTCCTCTTCAAATACTGCCCTGGGATCTTGTACATCTGTTCAGGTGGTGCACATACATGCAGTGATGCCTCAATCCTCTATTTCCTCAGTATTGCAGTTATCCAAGATTATGCACTCCATCAGAGACAGTAGCATCACCATTACCAACTTAATCAAATTCCACATAAGTGTCTACAAAAATGAAGAGAAACCAAAGCAATAATTTTTAGAACAGAATGCATCTTGTTCAAGTAATGGATCGTATTGGGTGTTTCAGATGTTACCTCAACCCTGCCTTTCAAGGAAAAGATATATTTTATACAGAGCAGATTGAAGCGACTTTTGCTGAACAGTCAATTTAGAAAATGAAAACAGTTTGCCGTTAGCATGAGGTTTAGATTCAGAGTGTAAAACAGAGATGTGAATTTAAGGCACGAGATCAGAAGCAATGATTATTATTAAAGGATATCCACCAGCACAAGCCAGAATCAAGCAAAGCCAATGGGATATTGGACAAAAGCTCAAAACCAGATTTCTTTCCCTAGAAAGTTAAAATGTTAAACAATTCCAGTTAGAGAGAGAAAGAAAGCACAGTTTAAAGACAAAAGCAGCAGTCCACAATCAATAACAAGAAAACTGGCTGATACAACAGATCAATAGAGAGAATTCTTTCAAGATCTGTTTGTTGAGAGAATGCCCAGGGTGTAACAATACAACAAGTAAACGATCAAAAACAAAAGCCCAAGTCATTACTTGCATGACAACTGTGATCAAATAGCAGGTTCTAACCAGGGTTGTTGATAAGCAAAATTATATATCAAATGCCTTTTATCATCATCATTCCATCTTCTCAAGGGCATCTAGGGAAAGGTAATAACTACTGGCCCAGTCAGTGAAGCCCATATTCCATGAATGATCTTTTAAACAATCATGTTGCCGAGAAGAATCTTCCATTGAAAACAATCTGAATTGTGATTTAATTAAACTTTGTCATGGAGAGCAGTACAAACTATTTGAGTCAGATCAAATCCTTTATTGCTCTGTGCATGTCTAGAATTGGCCTTACTTCTGGTAAAAAATTGCAGCTTGCTGTTAGACATTAAATTCTGAATCCACTGCAATTAGCATTTGTTTAGTGGAACATTTTGCTATCAAAGCACATGGGAATTAGGTCACCAAATTTCAAAATAAAAAGCTACGAACATGTGGGTTAACTCCTACAGGCTCACAAAATTGATAGTCATAAAACATTCAGGAATTTAGTGTACATTGAATTTTTTTTTGATGGAATAAAAACCTCCGTAGTTGCATATTGCAACACCAAAATTCCTGGCCAGACTGGAGATGATTGGTTAAGTTGTGCCAGGAGACAACACTGCTATCAGTGATTTTACACACAAATTATCTGAAGTTAATTACAGTTGCTGCTGAAATAAACAATCTGCAATCTTTAGGTATGATGTATTCATTGGACTTTGGTGGAAAGATCATTGTATTTTTCACTGGGAGAAGCTGCTGCTGTATCATTCTTGCACAAGTACCTTTTGCTCTCGAGAAATTTTGTTTTAAAAAGTCTACAAGTGGACTATGTTTGCATTGTTGTAGAATAGAGATGTCTGCTTCAAGTTCTGCCCCACCTCCCATTTATTGCCTATCATTGTAGGGCCAACAGTCATTCTAAAAAGTTATATATTGGTGCTGCTTCTATTTACGTTTACAGCTACATTTTCATCATTCACTTCCCGTTTGGAGTCTAAATTCTGTTCAAAGAAATTTAGTGTAGCTTTGGTGGTACTGATTTGATGGGCAATAGGGCCTCTTCTTTGCTGTATGATTCTATAATTTTTAACAAATTAATCAAAAAATTCATAATTGTGAAATAATCCAACTGATGAGTTAAGAAACAGAACCTTCTCCCATGGTGGGAATGTTTGAATGAAGGTTCTGGAACTTCTTAAAAATAATAAGCCTTCTGGCTGGTAGTTACAGAATGAGAAATTAAACTTTAGAATCTGTTACTCTCATTAAAAAAGAATCAATGCAAAGCCACGGGCAGAACAAAATTCTCAATACTACCAATACTACTTTTATTTGGCTTCCGCCATGAAACATAGGCTGTCTCACACACCAAGGTGTCAAGTTTTGAGGAAAGCAATATCCACAAACTTGCAATGCCTGAAATGGTCGGTTCAAGGATCATTAGCAATAGTTACTGTACACATTGAAAGTGCTTGGGTGTCTGTGTATAATGGGAATTGACTGGAACAAAATTGATGCATTCAGCATTAGGAAAAGCCTCTGTACTGGAAGATAGGTTTAGAAGGGCTTTGTCTTTTGTTCATTTTTGGGATGTGGAGATCACTGCATGGTCAGGATTCACTTCCCACCCTGAATTATCCTGAAGAAAGTGATGAGTCGCATTCTCAAACAGAGACAGCCCAATGTGGTAATTTTAGCTTGAAGCGGTGTGATGCGTGGTTTACTAGGTCAGTTCAGAAAGTAGTTAGGAATCAAATGGTCCTCAGGCAGGTCTAGAGTCACACAGGCCAAACTAGGCAGGGATATTTAAAAGGACATTAGTCAACCATTTTTATGGCAATATCTTAGCTTCAAGGACATCATTTTAGATGCCAGCTTTATCATTCCAGATTTATTTAACCAAAGTGAAATTCTCACACCGCCATGGTGGGACTGAACATTACATTCTTCAATTAATGAGGCCAGGTTGCTCATTCAGTAGCAGAGCAACAATGCCGCTGCACCATTATCGTTAAACTCCAGCACTGCAACAGAAATAAACGGCAAGTGCCGCTGGTGGACCTGAAATCACAGCAGAAACTGATAGCAGGGCAAGGGTTAATTCTGTCACAGCAGTAAAATACATTAGCTAAAATAGAGATCTCTCAGGACTGAACTTTCAACTTTAGTAGGGAGAGTCAACTGGCAATACTGAATGAGCCAACCACTACACTGACTGCACCATGAGAAGGAACAAGCATAGGAACAGAGAGCGAAGCTGATATCCCCCATTTTATAGCAATATGGAAGTTCGAAGTTCTGTCTATAATGCTTTTCGCAAGAACCATTCATTTTAAGATCAATGCATTTCAAGAGAACACAAGAAGTTTTTGAAGGATATGAACCACACAAAACAGGAGTCAATTAATGCTAAAGCTATGTCAGCCACCAAAACTGGCACACTTCTTCGATCCTGCAGTATTAAAGAAAGTAGACGTTAGATTTTCTTAGAATTAGTTTCGATAGGATAAAATAGATCAGTCTAAATGCTGGACAAGCAAATTCAACTTTAAATGATAAGAGACAGGAGATTAATGTCCGCAGTTTAGATGACAGAAATAAACTCTGATCACAATTAAACAGATCAGAAACAATATCCACAAGGATACAGCAACTTCAACTTAAATGTTTTTCTTTTTGTTTTTAATTCATTCACAAGCTGAGGGCATTGCTGGCTAGGCCAGAATTTATTGCCTATCCCTAATTGTCCAGAAGGCAGTTAAGAGTCAACCACACTGCTGGTGGGTCTGGAGTCACTGTGACGATAGCAGTTCCCTTCCCCGAAGGACATTATTGAGCCAGATGGGTTTTTCTCACAATGGATTCATGGTCATCATTAGATTCTTAATTCCAGATATTTATTGAATTCAAATTCCATCATCTGCCGTGGTGGGATTCAAACCTGGGTCTCTAGAATAACAGTCCAGCAATAATACCACTAGGCTATTGCCTCCCCATGTTGCTGCGGTTAGTGCTGCACCATAGAACAATGCAACACAGGCTTGGGACATTATATTATTAATTAAGGAGGGATCAGCATTTGAAAAAGTGAAAAATATTAACAGATCTGGAAGGCCATCAACTCAACATTCCAAAACAAAAGCCCTCCAGAAATCCATTCCACATTCAAGAGTTTAAATGATTCCAAGATTTTCACCTTCACTTCAAATCTACCTTTTCTATTTAATGCATTCTGTATCTCTGAGGCTATTTCTTAAATTGTTTATTTTTAAAATTGGAAAGCTAATTGGGCCTTCTTAAAGTATCTAAGAATTTAAATACCAGTTTTGTGACTGAGTGACTAGAACTGGATACAGTATGAAACATTCAATCTGACTAGATAACTAGGCAGCTTGCTTCCCTCAATAATTTAGATGTATAGTTCAGCATTGCATTTGTCTTTTTGACTGGGGCTCTATAGTAAGTTAGTGCATTTAGTTTGAATTTTTTTAAAAATTCAAGTATTTTTGATCCAAGCAAAATTGTTTGGAAAATTCTTCACATTACTAAAAACAAAAAAAAGATCACTTAAAATAAAATCATAAATGGGTTGTTGAAGGTATTTGTACACAATCCAGGTGGTTCTAATACTGATTAGTAACACGTACATTATTTTTAAACTGCACTCCGCTTTCATCTTATACTTCATTTAAACTTAAGGTCCCCATTTCAACATAAAATGTGTTTATATAAATTTAGAACATTTAAAATGAGAAAAACAGGTCAAAAGAGAAGGTTTGAGTGAATCATACAACCACTTCTCTATTTGCGTGGAGATAGTAAAAAGAAAAATTCTAACTAAAAAATAATTGGTTGACTTTACCCCTGTAATTCTCAAGACTCCTTCGACAGATGCAAAAACCAGGTAGAGTGCTCCCAAACCAATTACTCTGTGCATTACTGTGCCCAATCGAGGTCTGTATAAGTGATACAATAGTTAAGAGATGCACTTCAATTATACTTCCTTTTAACAATGAACTGTTTCAGTCTTTGAGGAAAATGAGTAGGCCATCTAGTCTTTCAAAAACGATCAGCTGCATTCAATAACATCATGGCTATTCTGCCACCCAACTCCACATACCACCTCCGGTCTGCTGACCCTTACTCAGATCTGAGGAAGGGTCACCAGATCCAAAACATTAACTCTGATTTTTCTTCAGAGATAATTTCAGACCTGCTGAGCTTTTCCAGCAACTTCCGTTTTTGTTCCTGATTTCAGCATCCGCAGTTCTTTCGGCTTCCATATACCACCTCTTGTCCATCTCTCTTAGGAGTTTTAGCTAACAGAAGTCTGTAATCAGTTTTAAAATTGGCAACTGATCTATTATTAAATACCATATTAAGAAAAGTCTGATACATCTATGCCCCTCCCCATTAGAACAGGAGTAGGCCATTCAACTCCTCAAGCCTATTCTGCCATTTAGAAAGATCACAGTTGATCTGTGGCCTAACTCCACATACATGCCTTTAAAGAGGTGTTTCCTAATTTACTTATTGACCGGTCTGGTTCTAATATTTTGACTATGTTGCTAATCTAGACTCCAAACAAAAAATTCTCGCCATCTACCAGATTTGTTCCCCTTCATATCTTGAAACTTCTGATCAAATCATTGCTCGTACTTCTAAATCCCAGGGAATACAATGCTAGTTTGTGTAGTCAGACATCATAACCCAACCCTTAAGAGTCCAAGTATCGTTCTAGTAAATTTATACCAACTTCCCACCAATCCACTTAAGTTTTCAAAGCAATTTATACAGAAGCTCATTTGGGTAAATACTTACTTAACTATTCCATATCCCAAGCTTACAATTATCACAAGGAGCCGAGCCAATGTCCTTTTCACTGCAGAAATAAGCTCTGCAAAGATTAGAAGACCCTGCACTGTAGGGGAAAAACAAATCCATTAGCAGCCTTTTGAATTTTCCATGTACAATCTCAGCACCAATATCTGAAAATTTTTGAGTATAGGGTAAGTGATTTTTAAAGCAGGGAGTTGTTAACCAGAAGTCAAGTTCAACCTTACAAGAGGAAAAAACAGAAGAAGCAATTGACAGAGATGCATTCACACACTGCCAATGATAGCTTAAGCAAAATCCCAGGAGTAAATAATCAGCTTACTGCATTGAGGTCCAAAGCTTCAAACAAACAGATACCGATTTCTTTCTTCATCAACATAGTTTACATAAACTTATTATGTTTGCTGGTCTTTGTTTGACTTTAACACTATTTGAGGCCAATGAAGGACTTTAAAAATGCTTACAATAAAACAAAGAACTGCAGATATTGGAGATCTGAAACAACAAAAACAAAAATTTCTAGAGAAATTCAACAGGCTTGGCAGTGTTTATGAAAAGAAAACAGAGTTAACATTGAGATAACAAGGTGTAGAGCTGGATGAACACAGCAGGCCAAGCAGCATCGTAGGAGCAGGAAGGCTGACGTTTCGGGCCTAGACCCTT